AAAAGTTGGACCATATATAATCAGGAAAACTGGCCAACAACAAATATTGTTCAATCCGGCATGGTCTCTTAAACAAGTTAAATTGCTAATGCAAAGCAATGTCTCTGAAGTTCAGCCAGCTTGTTCACCTTTCTTGCAAACTTCTTTCCAGGGGTGGACGACCTGGTTACATAACTGGTGTTGTGGGAACAGGATTGGGAATTCTAAATAGTATTAATTCAGAAGTATTATTACATAAATTGGCTGCTACAACTAAAGATTTGACCCAATTACAACAACCATTGCAATTGTCCTTATCAGCCTTGGGAACGCATCAATGGTTGCTAACAAACATATTACCAAATTGGGAAAAGGTAAATATGAATGACCACAAATTGATAATTGATGCACTCAATGCTACACAAAGCAACGTTTCCATAGCCCTTAGCTGCATCCAGGCACAATTATGGATGCAGTCAGTTGCTGCTTCCATTATAAGAGAAGGTGAAGAAGGCACGTTTCCTATGGAAATTCGGAAGATAGTTTGGGACAGTGCCACTGACTTTGAAAAAGATTTCCAATCCTGGTGGAATTTGGTGAACTTTACTTATGACCCCACTGCAAACTTAGCCACAGCTTTTGTGTTAACCATACGCAATGCCTCCGTGCATTCAATATTCCCCATTATTGCATTAGGATTGAATCATGATGGAGCCACTGTCTGTCTTTCTGAGCATAGAGAATGGGCCCGACAAATTGATGATAAATGGCAAACTGTTAACTTAGAATCCTGTATTGTCCGAGAACAACAAGGGTTCATCTGTGAAGGCAATGCAATTATAGCTCAGGATATTTGTCTGGACACTGAACAAAATATCTGTCACTTTGAAATTCATCCTAATGAAACTCCTAAAACATTCCTTGTATATATAGGCAATGGATGTGCATGCTTTAGAACTGCTTGTAACACAGTGTATGTAGAAGACACAGTAGTAGATACTAAAAATCATTCAAATTTTTGTGCTTGCAATTTCACTAAAATTACAGGATGTGATTTTTCTTTTGAAGCTCCAGTTACTTCACATCAACTTTTATAATCCAATTACACACTGATTCATAAGCTATTGCCTACCCCCATTGGAATGAATCTTACTCTGGTAAGGCAATTGTTGCTTCACCAGGACTTAATTGAAATCTTAGGAAAAATCAAAGAGAACGGACAGAAAACACTGGTAACTATTCATCATGATGTACAAGAAATACATCAGGTTATAGAAAGGGTGAAGAGTGATGCAGAATATAGGTGGTGGGATACACTTTTTGGATGGTCACCTACTGCTACAGGCATCCTGAACAAATTGTGTCATCCCATTGTTGTCCTTTTGATTTTAGTTTTGATTGGCTTTGCTTTATCAGCAATCTTGCTTATTATGAATTGGAGAATGATAAAACGATTAACAAAATTGACAGCTATAATTAATGCACACCACTTGGCCGATGTGCTTTATACTATAGACATCCCCAGGACTATAGACACAAAGCAATTATAAGATTAGAAGATTGTTTGTTTTAGTCACTTAGAAAACCTGATTTGAATTCTTAAAGATTGTTTTATTAGTTTATTATTAAAGAATTGTTTTAATATTATTTAATCAACTCATTGTTTATTGATTAGAAAATTGTTCCAATTAATATTGATTCAATTTATACTAATCATTGATATTGTTCTACTATTTTCCCTGTTCTCTTTTCCCCTCCTTTTTCTTCTCTTTCCCTTCTCTGGGATATGCTGCCAACACTAGACGAGTCCTGAAGACTTCACAACGACACTACAGAACCCTGCTGAAGATCTCTTGAGGGCAATCGTCAGTCACGGGGTGGTGTAAGAGGCAATCTGAAGACCCTCACTCATTTGCCTGCCGATTGCCACGAGAAGGAACTCCCTTTCCCCACTGCAGTTCCGGCTTGGAGAAGGCAACAGTGCAGGTGCAGCCGCTGCACCGTTACGTTCTGTTCCGAACGAGGCCCGGCAAGAACTTGGCAAGAAGTTGGCAAGGACTTGGTGAAGACCCAGCGTGGACCCAGCACGGAGTGGCCTGCTGCAATTCCTGCTTCACTCTCCACCTTTAAGCTGAATGAACTGTTGGGGTGACTCTGGTGGTCTCTCACTGAAGATCCCTCATCTGCCTCCTTACCACCGTGACAGACGGAGATCAAGAACCCTCTCCCCAAGGACTGAGACTGAGACCCCTACCACAGAGAGTGGTGGGTGGGGAATGACATGACCTGTTCTTCTCCAGTAACTTCAATGGACTTATTCATCATTGTGTTTGTTCAGCCTGGATGATTTTCTGTAGATACAGCTGTTCCCCCCATAGCAATTTCAATAGACTCTTATTGTTCTGCATGTGGCCCCCTTTCCCTCTGTGGACTATAACTGGACCCCTGGGTTGGGCAGGATTTTGGAGACTCTCCCCAACACAACAAGACGGATCCCCATTGTCCAGACCACTGAAGACCTCGCCTGTGTTGGTAGCTATTCCCATCCCCCCTTCTCTCTCTCTCTCTCTCCTTTTTATTTACTTTCTGACCACACTATCGCATTTATTGTTTTTTGGCCCTTAATAAAGGTGCATCTATTGTGATTAAACTGATAGTCCCCTGCTGTTTGTCTTTTGCACTTTGGGATCGGCTAACGAACCATCACGACACCCCACTATAAGCGGATCGTGACAACTTGATTTCAGAAAAATGGGAGATGCAGAGGAGAGGTTCCTGGATACAGTAACTCTACCTACACCTGGAACTGAGGCATCTGCCCAGGGATTTCATATTCACTGACTGGGAAGGAAATCGAATCAGGGCTTGCTAATTTTCATGAAGTCAAACACCTGGGATTCACTTCAGACTTGCATTTGCCTGGAATAATTCAACACAAGCGCTGTATATTTATACACCGACACGGAACTTTTCTGTTGTTTGATGAGATTACAATTTGTCTTCCTCTTGTGGTTCCTGCAATCCTTCCTCTCCTGAGGTTTGCAGTTGAATTACCAACATCTAGCCCAGGAATATTCGTCTGTCATGTTTTGGATATTGTTGTTCTTCAAAGGAAAGCAAACAACGCGAGTGTAAAGCAGGCCTCTTCCCAGGCAGATTGTATTGGAACCAAGTCCTGCCTCAAACCAGAATCCAATCTCATCTCCACTGTTGTGTACGTCTATTATTTTTCTCATCATTGCTTTTCCATTTCTTATTACTATGCCGCTCAGTCTTGAACAACATCATTCAGAACTACACAGAAGTCACATACTGCTGCTTCCCTATTCCTATCTGCTTGTTACCTAATCCCACCCAGCTCTCTATTGAAAATCTGCTTTTACCTGGGCAGACAGGTGTGTTTTTTAGCTGCAAATATTGTGAATCAGGGATGCAGAATTTCTCCTTACTCTGTGAATCTGATCAAGGTCCTTTTCCACTGTGTCACTAAACATGTGAATTCTCCCTTTCTCCCAACAACCCCCAGTGCTGGTTTTGGCTAAGATAAATCAGACAGAGCTGTTTGGAGTCACTCCCCACCTGTTTTTCCATCTCATCCAGGGGCTGGGGTAGGATGGCTGGTTGGGTTGTGCAGACACATTGCACTGCACCTTCCCCTGCTGGTGCCCAGCCTGGATCAGGGCAGGTTGGATGCCACATGGGATCCATCCTTTGCCATGCCATGTGATCCTCCATGCAGTAGGGATAAAGAGCCCAGCACTGGGGAACCCCAGGTGCTGCAGCAGTGATATTTTTGGGAGAAACACGGAGCTGTGCATGGCCAGCTTGAAGTCTGCAGTGGTGTGAGCACCAGGCCTGCCATGCTGAGCCCAGGGCCACAAGCAGTGCTCACCCTGGCTGGGACATTGAGTCCCAACATGGGATCCCACGGGACCGGGCACGCTGGGATTTTCCCCTGCAGCTACCAAGTGTGTCCAGAGAGACTGCAAGGAGACAGTGACCTCTGTCAGTGGGACCCCTCTGTGCAGGTACCCCCACTCCTGGGGTGGCTGTGCCAGCTCCCCCATGAACTTCCCGCCCTGGGAACCTGGAGCAAGTGGAAAACACAACTTTGCCAATGCTGCCTGTGCCTGAAGCAAATGGAAAGAGAACTGGCATGTGAAAAATAAAGGTTGTTTATTTACAGAAGAACAGCAATGAAAACACAGAACACAATTAGATTTTTAAGAATATTTGTAATAATAACAATTTATTGAACGTATATACCTAAGAACATATCTAACAACAATATTTGAAATGTATTTACAGAAGACAAAACTAAGCACTAAAACCTATAAGCCAAAGGCAACAACAAACTCTAAAAACTATATACAAAAGGGTGCCATCTCTGTCCAGGACCTCCATCAGTCCTGGAAGAAAAGCAGGTGCCATGGTCACTGCAGTCACGCACAGAGGGCTCTTCCATGTGTCCCCAGGCTGGCAAAGCGGGACTCTGCTGCCAGAGCTGAGGCTGGCTGCGTCTGGGGGCTGGGCCCCAGGCCCTGGGATGGGGCTTGTGCGGCCAAAAGCAAGAACAGGACAGGCTGGGCATGGCCACCAGAATCCAATGCACTGGGTACCACGTGCTGGAGCAGGGACCACCCAGCCCAGCCCCAGACTGGCTGCAGGGAACCCACTCTGTGTTTGGGGACCACATGCCTGTCCTGCTGCTGACATCGGTCTTCATCCCAGGACCATGGCCTCCTCTTCATCTTTCTCATCAATTTCCATGTCCTCGGTGAACTCTTCCATGTCCACGTCCATCTCCTCTTCCACATCCACATCCACCTCCATCTCTTCCTCTCCCGTCTGTTCTCCATCCACCTCCATCTCCTCCTCCCTATCAATTTGTGGGTCCACCTCCATCTCTTCCTCTCCAGCCTTTTCTCCATCCACCTCCATCCTCTCCTCTCTATCACTCTGTATGTCCACCTCCATCTTGTCCTCTCTATCTGCGACAGCCTGCAGAGGTAGTAAAACCTCAGAGTGGGGTCCCTGTCCCACCCCATCCCCCCAGAACTCCAGCCCACCCGGGCAGCTGGGGGGATCCACCTCCATGGAATGGCACCGTACCTTCCTCAGGACAAAGGTGATCATCCTGCAGGGATGGATGACACAATCCAGGCCTTAGGCAGCTATCGAGACTGATGATGGGGGTATCAGGGGGCAGGAACAAGAAGGGTGGCAGGAGCGGGCAGGAGCAGCGTGCAGGGTGTGCTGACCCCAGGGCCAACAGTTGTGTTGTGCTGCTTGCTGGCTGCTGGCAGTTCCAGGTGGGACATGGATTGTGACGTGACAGTTGAGCTAGAGAGCCTTTGGTTCCATGCTTAGCAACGTTCCCCCAGACCATGGTGCTCAGAGCCCTGTTGCAAAGATGGGGCATCCACAGCCTGGGCCAGTGCCTCAGCAGCCTCAGTGGAAAAGAGCAGCTTCCTGAGATCCAACGTCAATCAGCCTCCTGCAGCTGAAAGCCATCCTCCCTTGTGCTGTTGCCACAGGCCCTGTTGAACACTCTGTCCCAACCTTTCTTGTGGGACCCTTGCAGTCCTGCAGAGCTGCAGTCAGGCCTCCCCAGGGTCTCCTCTTTCCAGGCTGAGCATCCCCAGCCCCACATGGACAGCCGGCAGTGGGATCAGGGGCAGTCCAGGCTGGAGTCCAGTAGCATCAGGAACGGAGAGATGGAAGCGTTAGGCCCAGGTTTGCCTCTAAATGTACAAAATTAATAACAGTGGAGGGGAAGATGGTGGGACACTGGTTCTGCTCTAATTTGTGATTATTTTCTCTTTTTTTTTCTTTATTTTCTGTCATGCTTATGCAGGTTTGGCTGTTTGAAAGGAAGCTTGGCACAATATCCATTGTCTTCTCCACTTGTGAAACACCAAGCGGAGTCTGGGCAAGCTGATGATGCAGAGGAAAACCTGCAAATATACTGGTGATCCTGAGCCTGGAGGATGCAGTTAAACCCAGCCAAAAGTAATTTCTGGAAAGTCAAGCCTGCTGTACATTTTCTTGAGTTTGGCTATGCAGCTTTCACCTGAGTCTTTTAAAAAAGCAAACAAAAAACTCAAACCAAAACAGACAAAAACCCAAACAAACAAACCCACGCAAACCAATCAAACAAATAGATTAAAAAACCCCAAATAAAACCAAAGGGAACGAGGAGTTAGTATTACTTGTGAGGATATCACAGCAGGCAAATGTCTGCTTCCCACCATAAAAAGCCACAGAAAACACCTGCTCCAAAATATGCCCAAGAGGAGAACCATAAAAGTGATACATAGCAACTTTGGGGGCAGCTCCCCATTAAGGTGAGGGATGAGCACACAGTGGTACAGATCCAGCATTCCCCACCCTCCAGGCTGCTCTTTGCTCCTGATGCAAGACCCTTGCAGGTCTGTGGCCCCTCTCAGTGCATTATAAATCATTCCCAGAGCTCTCAGTTGAGCCACTGGCATTTCCAGAGCGAGATCCAGGCACAATCCTACTGCCTGCTGAGCCTCTCTGGGAGATCCTGAGCATCTTCCTGCCTAGAGCCACAAAAGAGCTCCAGCTCTCCCTGAACTGGGTTTTCAGGGGAGGTTTCCATATCCCTGTGAGATGTGTTCATCCCTCAACACATCTGATTTTATGTACCATGATGTGTTTGGGTTCCTTCCTTACTCCTGTGTGCCAGTGAGAAACCACCCATGTGAATGGAGGGTATTGTGAGCAGGAAAATGCATTCCTGGGTTGCTTTTTTGCTTCACTGTCACTCAGCTGAATAGGGTCCTTATCTTTTAGGGACTTACAAGAATGGGTAGGAATTTTGGCTCTGAGAGGAGCAGAAAGCACATTTTCTGCACCACATTCCCAACAGATGCCGTTTCCCTGGGAAAATAGTGACTGTCATTCATGTTCCTGGGAAGATTGTGAAGAGCCATTCAGAGATGACAGGTCCACCTGGCCTTTGGCTTTGTGTACCTCATTTCACATGCCCAGTTTCAAGGGCCATGAAAAGAGGCCACCTTTTGCCCTGGCAGTGCTGATCCCTCCTGCTGATGCCCTCCCTCAGCGTGGGAGGAATGCAGAGCTGGTCTCAGAGAAGCACAGGGCTTGAGGGTTCCTGTGTCATTTCCGTGTGTTGGTAAATATTGTTGAACCACCTAGTTCTTGTCTCTCAATTATTGAACTCTGGTTGGTTTCTGGAATTGGTGAAGGATGTGGAGCTGCTGGAGCCACTCCAGGGAGACCTTTGAGCTCCTTCCAATGCCTGAAGGTGCTTGAGGAGACCTGGAGAGGGACTTTGGAAAAGGGTCTGGAGGGAGAGAACAAGGGGGAATGGGTTCAGCCTGACAAAGGACAGGTTTAGAAGGAGAGTGGGAAGAAATTCTATTCTGTGAGGTTGGTAAGACCCTGGAACAGACTGACCAGAGAAGCTGTGGCAGCCCCATCCCTGGAGGTGTTCCAGACCAATTGGACAGGGCTTGGAGCAACCTGGCATAGTGGAAGGCAGGGGGCATGGAATGAGATGGTCATTAGTTCCTTCCTGTTGCAGCATTTTTGAGAGAAAGAGGACATGAGTTATGAGATTTGAGCTACTCCAGTGTAGGCCTCAGATTTGGGCCTTGTGAGGCCTTCACGCCTCTGACGCAGTTAGAAATTAAGAGCTTGTGGCGCAGCTAGAAATAGTATTAAGGTGTGATGGGGACCACTGGGCTGTCTGGGTGTGAATTAGTATAGGTTTATAGTGTAAGGTTTAGGCCACCTTAAGGAAAAGGTAAACAATGTTAGCTTGCCAATCAGAGTGCCGTTGTTTCTGTCAACTGTGTAGAAGTTTATAGAAACTACCATCTTATCTTGAATAAATGGAGAACGTTTGATTAACCACATTGGTTAAAATCTGCGTTTGTCCTGTCCAGCTTCCCATTTTCTGAGATTCCCTGGCTTTTCATTATACTTTCCTAAACTTCATATTGCAACATATATTCTAATTACATCATTATATGAGCCCTTGTAGCACATGTGCAGTTTCTGCACGAGGTGGTCATCTGGGGATGACAGCCTGGCCAGAGAGGGAGAAACGACATTCGTTTTTCACAGCGGCTTGTGAGACCTTTTAGGGAGTTGCAAAAATGATGATAACTTGTTAGTATAAACAACCGGCAGGTGGTGTTTTTCTATTCTGATTTTCTGTTCTTCTTAAGGACTGTTTGTAAGAAAGATGTTTTTGTTAATTAGCCAATCAAGTAGAATGTGTCAAACCTGTCTATAAAAGACAGAGCTTTTGTATTAAACTTTTGTCTTCTGCAATTCAGTCTCCTGGTGAGCTTGTGTCACTCTGGGCTTAATGATGACAGTTGTCAGCCTCCTGCTGGTCATTTTGGATGAAGGCTCAGAAGGCTTCCTCAGGCTTCAATTTTTTAACCTCTGTTTCTGCACATGCTCTACAAGATTGTCTGGTCAAATAGCCAGTGGTTAATTAGCCTTTTGCAGTTAGCTTGTTCTGCTAAATTTGCTGATTTCTAGAAAGTGCTTCATTCCCATCCCCGGGTACAATGTAACTACTTCTTTCTGCACAGCTTTTAGCATAGCTCAAGCATTATCTAGTTTCCTTGGCATCTAAAAGAAAAAAGGAGGAGGGGGCAAACAAGTGAGAGTGAGGGGTCATTATCTTGTTAGCCAGGTATCAATTATTAGATTAAGTAAGGGGTATTCTTGTCCATAAAGTACGTGTCGGGATTCCATAGGGACAGAGCCAACGTGTGGATTTGGAGCGTTGGGGTTGGTGCCAAAGTCCTGCTCTTGAGAGGGGTGCAGGGACACAGGCAATGTCAGAGGACAATGAGAGACAGGGGACATGAGGCCATAATGGGCCAAGCATGATCCTGCACAGGATGGCAGCAAAGACACTTCCTCACCGTGACCTTGGCAATCCAGGGCACCCCAGAAAGGGCCGAGGAGTCCTGTGTGTAACCAGGAGGGATGACGGACATCACTGTGGGTCCCAGCCTTCCCCAGTCCCTTGCTGGCCATTCAGTTCACACTGGGGACGCTGGCATGTGTGGAACATGGGGATGGGGTGCACAAAGTTAAAGGGGACCCCAAAGTGGAAGGAGTGGAAGCCAAAATAGCTGGGTGGAGATACCCAAAAAGGAGGTATGATATCCCAAAATGGAGGGAGGACGCCAGAAAATTGGGCCACACCCCAAAAGGACACACAAAGCTGTTCCCTCCCTCCATTACTTACCAACAAGAACTATCTATCAACTCTAAGTTCAGCAAATAATTTCAAGTGTTTTAGCTGAAACTCATTCTGAGCAAACTTTGTAGAAGTGAGCACGGAATCACAGAATGTTCTGTGTTGGAAGGGCTCCACCGTGTCCAGTTCTGAAGGGAATGGCCTGCTGGCAGGGTCAGCAACAAAGACACCCACAGCAACTTAAGGAAGAAGTGCCATTTACTGTAGGGCAAAGCAGCAAAGAAGTACAAAAGGATAAGCTAAGCAATGCACCGGATTATTACTACGAAAGATACATCACCAGTTACCCTAATACTTGACCATTGTCCTGACACACACATCAGCTGGGGATGCCCTGTCACACCAAAGGATTGGAGAAGCACTCCCAGTAACTGGGAATTCCTATGTGGTTCGCCCACCCTCAGGTGAGGCTGCCAACTTTGCTGTGAGAGGGCCCAGATTTTATACTGATGAATAAACAAGGTACCATAACTTCTAGTGCGGGAACATCTGGTTTCATCCTCCCCTTGGCCAGGGCTCAGGGAGGAACCAAGGGAGTTTGCTTTGACCCTATACCTTCAAACAAAGCCAGATAGAGAGAGATCTGATTTTGTGGCCTTGTCTAGCTTCTAAGTGTGGAAAGGTAAACACCTGCTTCACTAATGAGCAGATACATACATCATACTGGTAATGATCATGCATATTTTGTTTATGAGCGATTATAAATATAACGTTTGGTTGGAAGGTTCATCTGGAGGTCAGCTTTGGCCGAGGGCCTGTTGTTCAGGCCTTAGTACTTCACTAGAATTGTCCCTTTACAGGCACTGATCCTGTCCCCTCAGCTGCAATGGCATCTTCAGCTGGTCCCACGGGGATTGCCCAAGCTCTGCTTGTGCTGAGCTCCTTGTGAGTGGAGTCATCAGTCTCTTGGATGAACAGATTCTCTGTCACAGCTGTCCAAAATTTTGCCCTGGGATACCACCAAGGTAACAGGATAGGGGGTCTGCAGCTCTGACATGGAAGCTGTCCTGCTGGGTGGGCTTTGCTGTGAGTCTGAAACACAGCAGCTCTCTGGCCATATGGTGCTGCTGTCAGAGCTGCCTGCTGCCTACTCAAGGCTCAGGCAGGCACCTGAGCTGCCTCATGCACTGCAAAAACCATCTCAGTGCCCATGGCACCTCCCGAGCCCTCGTCTCAGTGCGGGTCCTGCTGGCAGTGTCAGAGCGGTGGCTCCTTGGGATCAGCGCTGCCCGTGCTCTCTGCCCGCCCTGGCCCTGGCAGTGCTGGCCCTGCTCCCATGCACGCACAGGGAATGGGAACTGCTGCCTGATGGTTTCTGAGCTGCGCCACTGCTGCTGCTGGAGATCCCTTGATGAACACATTAGTGGGACTATGGGCCATACTGGCCTGCCACAGCAAGGTCCTGGACAGGAAGGCAGAAGTGCAGAAGGTCCTGTCAGTCCTATTTCTGTGTATTTCTGGAAACCAGGGAATCTCTCTTGATCCTGTGAGGCACTGAGTTTGCAAAGTAATGGTTCCCTTGTTGTTGTTGTTGTTGCTTTCCCTTTGGGCTGCATCCGTATTTGAAGCCAGTCGAGCCTCTCTCCAGATGGGCATCTCTGATCATCGCAGTGAAGCAATGGAGGGAGTTCAGGAGGTGGTGATGACCATTTCAGGAAGGCTCTCTCCAGTTCAAGCTGGCACTCAGGAGCGCATGTCAGTTCATTCATGAACATCCTCTGGTGATTTCTTAGTAGAGGGCTCCCCAAGAAGCTTGAGGAGTTTCCCCATCCCAGTTTCCCCAGTTAGAGACACAGCTGCGTTAGGCTGTGTCTCGCTGTGTCCCAGGGATTGCAGCAGTCCTCCCCAAGGAACTTTCCTTGGAGCAGCCCTGGAGACAGATGGTGTTTGGGCAAGGTACATGCTCTACAGTGAATTCCTGATTTTTTTAATGGTTTTTTGGGGTTTTTTTTATTTGTTTGTTTTTTTCTGGTAGGGCAACTAGAGGTATTGTTTGTGTATTTAGCTTCATGAGTCTGTGTTAAGTTAGTGTAGTATTGGTGATTTGATTAAAACCATTTCTTTTCAGCTGTTTCTTTGTATCAATTTCAAGTTTAAGGTTATAGCTGGCCTTAAACTCCAGCCTGTGTTCTCCACAGCAAAGCCCCTGTGCTCTCGTAGGAAAAGCATCAATTTCTAAGCCGTAAAAAAAGGCATTTAGCAAGTGATGACTATCTGACATACGGTCTTTGGGTGATACTAAATATGGTAATTTTTGTTTATTTTATTGGCAACATTCAAAAACATCTGCTTTATTTTCAGTTTGAATAAAGCTGGGTTCACTTTTCATCTGTTAACTTCAATGAGACAACTTCTCTGTGTAAATTTGGCACACAGTTTCCCAGGACCTTCTCCTGAAGCTTGCAAAATTAAAACAAGAATAGGAAACGAATTTTTCTCCTTGATCCATACTTCTCACCGTTGCACTGAGCTGTAGCTGTACCACCAGTAAGCTGCTGTGCACATCTTTCCTCACACCTCTGGCCCTCTCCATCTCCAGAGCAGTTTTTATCCCAGGTGCTGTGTTCACCTCTGCAGGTGGCCTCCACCAGAGCTGTGTGTGTTAATAAATTATTTCCTGCCATTTTTACCATCTTCACCCCTCAGCACAGCCTGGTGCTGCTGTGCTGTGTGTGCTGCCTCCCTCCCAGTGCTTTGCCAGAATCCCCAAACAGACTGGGAGCTGCAGTTGCTGTTTTCCAGTTTTCCACAGAGCAGGCGTTGTGTACGTTTGTTATTCACTCAGACATTCATTCTTCCCTTCTCACTTCTTACTTGCCCCGTTGTGTTTTAAAGTGCTGTTCCCATTCTGCTCAGTTCAAAGCTTTATCCCAGGCCTTACTTTTGCATTTAGCATAAATAAATTTATTTAAAGCTGTTGTGCTTATGGATATGCCAAGGTCTCTTTTGTGACCTTTTGTTCATTTTTTAAATTTCATTTTCAAGTAAGCCAATTGCCAGCTAGGGACATCCTTTCACACTCTGGATGGAAAAGCACCACAAAACTTAACTGGAGAGTCAGACCAGAAATCCCTACAATGGAGAACCTGAGGCTGCCTATGCCAAGGGCAGCCCTAATAAATAATTTTAGGCCAGCATGTGCTTATGGCTTACAGTGACCATCTGTAAATCAAACAAAAGGAGTATTGTCTAGATAAAATCTGGTGATTGAAATTCAGTTTACTGATCAACAAGCGTGGAAGTTCTGGAACTAGTTTTAAATAATTGTTCTATTTCACATGTATTCATCTGTGAGAGAGACAAGAGGTGGGAGATGATTTTGTCTTTTGTGGCATATGCTTTACTTAGAAAATAAAGTTCTGAGACTCTCTTAAGTAGTAGGAAGCTGCCCTTAGTAACAAAATAGTGAAAATTGTCATATTTTATCCAAAAGGAAGGGGAAAAAATAATTTTCCAAAGTAATAGCTTGTAATTTGACAGCATGAATCATTTGTGTTATTATGAGTGAGTCATAAATAGAAGAGGCACCAAAAGAATTATTTTTCAAAATGTACAAAGATAACAAAGAAAGGAAGTCTTCTAAAATGTTGCTAAGAAGGCACCAGGCCATTAAACAGGCCAAGCTTATTTGAAATACTAACTGACCAAAAGTGAGTTAAATTTTAATTTTTTTGTTTTTTTGTAAAAATAATAGAAGAGGCTGCTTTCAATTATCTTTTTCTATAAAAGCCAATTACCCTGTCTTTAGTGGAAGCTGGGTCAAAGTCCTCCCTAGAAGTATTAAGAATCCTGGAGTTTCAGTAATATGATCCAGCCTTTACCAGCTCCTGAACTCTTCTGCCACACACAGTTGGTCAAGTCACCAAACACAGCCAATAAAGCCGATGTGCCCACTGTACTTTGTCATTGCTCCTATGCATTTTTATCTTTCCAAACATTCTTTCCTCATGCCTGACTAGTCATCTTTGGATCTGAAGCTGTGGCCATGTCCTGGTGGATATTTGGTTTGTTCATTTGCTAAATTAATATTTCATTTCATGCTGGGTTAAGACTGGCCAATAGAAATAAATAGCTTTTGATTATAGCACAATTAAGGAGCTCTTGTGAAGAAAAAAGAACTCTCTTGTCCTGAGACTCTGACCCCAGCTGGTGCATTCTCTCTGCCAGCTGGTTCTTGCATGGAAGGAAAATTAATAAAATTGCAAATCAAAGAAGTATTTTCAGCAAATACGCAACAAACATTGAAGGCTAAACATCCTCCTTGCAATGCCAGAAGGATTCCAAATAAGCAGCTGAACTGAAGGATTATTTTGATAGTGTTATAGAAATACTGGTCTACTGGAAATGTTTAAAGGTCAGCTGGAGTGTTTTGTGGGGTTTTGTTGCTGTTACTGAGTTTTTTTTGGTGCCTGCTCCTTAGTTCTGGGCATGCTGCTTTCATAAGACCTCACTGACAGGCTGGGCTCTCAGAATCTGTGTTACACAGATTATCATCATTATTGCTACAGTTTCCATATTCCTCCCCTACTACAAAAAATGTGACCTTTGTCACATTACACTTTGTGTAATTTTTTTTTTTTTTTTTTTTTTTTTGCATCTCTGGTGTGAGATTCCACCTCCTTCAGCAGGAAGAGATCAATGAATTGAGATAATTGAAGAAGTAGACAGTAGTTGCTACCACTCTCAAATGATTTCATTAAATTATTAACAATGTGCTCAGAGCTGTCTTGGGGGTGCTGGGAGAGCAGAATGTAGTTTAGGCAGAATGTAATTTAGGCATAAAACATGACACAGTAATTTCATTTTAGTTCCAGCTTTACTGAATGTGCTTCTGAAAGCAGACAGGTACAGATCACACTTCTGTCTGATTTTTAGATTTAGGGTTACAGTGACAGTGCAAAATGTCAGAATTATGAGTAAGTTAAAAAGCAGTGCTGCGCTGTAAGGTCACAGAACCCTGTTAGTGTTCACTCCATGATCTGACTTAGCAAATCACAGCTTCATATTCTCAGCAGTGATGGCAGATATCACTCCCTCTGCTTCATCATATTCTCTCCTTTTATCCTGACTTTCAGTTGCTGTTCCGAAAAGGTCTGAAGTGCTTTGTGTCCTTGACCCAAGTGACTGACCAGCCTGCAGGGCTGGGAGAGCTGGGTACAAGTGTAAAACATTTCCTAACTCCTTTCTCCCTTCTGCTTTCTCTTTAACGCAAGCAAGACAGCAGCATCGCACAATCCACTTGGACAAGTAAGGCTCGTGAACGAGTCAGTGCTTCCACTAAATTAAAAACCCAATGTGCTTGAAAGTCGACCGCTACCATGAACTGGGTGGCAAAGCCAGGTGCTGCTAACAGGCTGCATTAACAACCCAAACAAGGCATCATGAGGAGCCAGGTTTGGGGACCATCCAAGGAGTCCTATCAAGAGCAAATACTTTGAATATTCTCTGTAGGACAAAAAAGGATCAAACCAAACCAGCTGATATGTGAGCAAAGTGAATTCAATTTCATTTAAAGCGCTGCTCAATTCAGGGCTGGGTTTCTTTTGAGTGGACAGATGCTAATAAATATTTTCTTTCATATGGTGGGGTTTCTCTGCAAACAGGCTTTGATGAGACATTTCTGACCCCATTTGGTTTTGCTCTTTTAAGATAAATCGAGAACCTGAGTAGCTTTGTTGAGGAATGAAGAATTGTTTGTAGCTCAGTTTTTTCTCAGGAAGGGCCTTACATTTTAGCACGGGAGGAAGATAAGGCGAAGGTTTAAAAGCTTTCCCCTCCTGGATTGAGACATTCTCAGAGGAGTCTGTGAGGAGAAGTCCCCTCAAGCAAGGTCAGGGCTGTTTGCCTCCTCTGCAGGCTCAGTATTCTGGGAGTTCCACAAGCCTCACCTGCCACTGTATTTTCCTCTGAATATTTCTTGTTCTGCAGTACACAGGGAGAATATTTTGTGCTAGATTCCCCTCTGGGCTTTGAGGGAAATCTCAGTAATTCTGGTGATTTTATGTCCAGATGAACTTTTTATGAATAGTAAGGAAAAGGGAAGAAGTACTATGGAAAATTAATTGCTCAAAATGTGAGTGGCCCAACCACACTAAAAACAAAGTCTAAACTGAAGAATTATTTTTTTATTGCCTGATAAGTGGGGTAAAACATGCATTGCTAATAAAGTCTTTAAGAGATGCAGACAGCAGCCAACTGTATGAAAATCAAAGTGGTAAAGGACGAGACAGGACAGGGGAGAATCTTCATCCCCTCCTGCTGAAGGTAGAACAGTATGAAAAGTGACTCTGGCTGTTGTCCATAGGTAAGGTGTGCTATTTGTAAAGGAGAGCAGGGGCCCCAAGCTGTTGGTGGCCCATGCCCTGCCGTGGATGGCCCACTTCCAGTCCTAGCTGGACCAGGGCGGTGGGATCGGGAGGGGAGGAGGTGGGGGGATCTCGGGAAGCTTCTGCCTCACAGCCGGACTGGGGGGCCGTGGGGGAGGCACGGAGTGCTGGGGCTCTGCTTTTGTGGGCAAATGCTGCTGCTGAGGCCATGTCTGAGAGCTGCCAAACCCAACGCTCTCTGGGCTCCCTGGGGACAAGAGGGAGTCACGCCTTCTGGGCCGGGATGCTGGAGCTGCAGCAGCGCTGCTGTGGAGAGAGGAGTGGCTGAGGCCCCACTGCCAGTGGCACACAGGGAGCCTCCTGCACAGCAGGCCCAGAGCTGGCAGGGCTCCCCAGCACGGCTGGAGCGGCTGGCACACCTTGGCCCAGCTGGACAGCTGCCCCTCAAGGCCCCGGCGAGCAGGGCACGGCTCTGGGCAGGCTCCCTGGCCAGGAGCGGGCCCCAGAGCGCCTCTGCCTTTCAGGGGCGATCTCGTCCTCGCTCTTTCTCCTCCCCACCTTGCTCTGCCTCTGCCCTGTGCCCCTGGGGCTGCTCGTGGCCAGGCAGCCTCAGTGGGAGCCAGCACTGGCTGCAGCCCCAGCGGGCCCCCAGGACAAGGCCCAGCAATGAAGGGGCCAAGGAAAGCACTGGGCACAGCAGAACCCTCAGCTGAATTCTTTGGACAGCCATGGGCGGGCCACAGCTCCACTGCAGCCTCACTGGGAATCTTCCCTTACTATCAGCAGCCTTTGAAGATGCTGGAGGGTAGAAATCTGCAAAAACTTACTGTTTCTTTTGCTTCCACCACTGGAACCCGACATAGCACAGGACCATAGAAAATGGCACGGTGAACAGTGTCACCACCGTGCCTATCATGCATGACCTGCGCACATCCTGGGGGCAGAAAATTCTTGGGGTGCTCGGTCCATTCTGGGTATTTGTACTGGACTTGCCAAGCATTTCTGTGGGAACAATGGGGAGCGTGAGCCCGCGCTGTGCTGCACTGCTGAGCTGGCAGCACGGTGGATGCGGCCAGGACGTTCTCTGTTTGCCCCAGAGCTGGGGCCTGCAGGCACCTTGCCACCCCTTGGCACAGGCTGTGCCACCCAACAAAGCCCAGCAGGCCGGCAGGAGAGCCCGGGGCCAGCGCAGCTGCTTGGGCCGTCACTGCTTGGAGGGACAGGGACCAAACCCATCCCTGAGCAGCCCCTGCCAGCCCTGGCCCTCCCTGCCCCGCGACAGCTCCCCCAGCCCCAGGGGACAGTGTCAGGCCCTGTCAAGACACACTGGAGCAATTACCTCCTGTGCCAGTGCCTGGAACTGCCTGCCCTCCTGCAGTAAAGGCTGGCACTAGGCCACTGCTTCTTTCTGGAACAGCCACCTTCTGTAGAGACTCCTGGTTCATCGCTTGAGAAAGCAAAGGCACAGCTGGATGAGATGGGACTGTTCCCCATCGGGGAGGTGCCATCTTCATAAGCCAATACTGGTCAAAGTCATGGACAAGGATCAGGAAATCAGATGAGCTTTTGGGATTGGACAGGACCTTCCCTTCTCCAATCCACCACCCCTCCTGATCTGCCTGGAGACTGGGAAATTGCAGGAGATCTCAGGGACCATGGACAATGGGGCAGTTGGGTCTCCCTGTCAGCTGGTGCCAAATGCTTTCCTGCAGAAGCTGGGGAGAAGCTGCAGCCAGGCCAGGCTGGGAAACAGCCCTGCAGGCCAGGAGAGCAGCAGCAGGGCAGCGAGGCTGCCATGGATCCCTTCCCGCTGTGCCAGGCACGGCCTGTCCAGATGTGCAGGGAAAGGCCCCGTCTGCTGAGTCCCAGGGGAAGGCTGAGGGAAATGCACCCACCACGGCGTCTCTCCAGATCACTCAGCATCTGGTCCAGATGTCTGGCTGCCTCCAGGGATTTCTTGTCTTCTCTGTCCTGGTTCATCTCTCCAGGAGGACCTTAACCGAAAAGTGTTGCACGTCTCCTTCAGGCCGCAGTGGCAGTGAGTGCCCCTGGGTGATTGGTGCCCTCCAAGGCACTCCCTCAGCCCTGCCTTCCACTCAGGAGAAGGGGCAGGGGGACCACGAGCCTGCGGTGGCCCCACACCGGGATGGAAGGAGCCCCTTGCGGGGCAGTTGGGGCAGAAAGGACTCCCTGGAGCTGCCAGCAGCTCTAAACCCAGCCCCAGACAGGGCCAGGGCTTGGCAGCGGCAGCAAGAGCAGCTCAGGCTCCCTGGGGCAGGCAAAGGAGCTGTGAAAGTCTCAGCCCCGGGGCACAGCCCTGGGCCCAGCCCCTTCCCTCTCTGCTCTTCTCTGGGGCTGCACAGAGCACACAGAAGGACACTCTGGCATTGCACACAGGAGGAAGATGGACAGCTAAATGCTCCTTCCTCCCACTGACAGTGATCCTGTGGGATCACTGTTGGGCTCTAGAAGGGAGCAGGGCAAGTCTTCCAGAATCTTTCAACCCTGAGATAATGTTAAGTCAAGTGGATCATGAGTGAGCTCTTGTCAGAATGACATTGATTTTTCTGCCAGGAAAGGCACACGGAGTACTTGCCTCCACCACGATTTAGATTCCTCAAACTGTCCTTCACCAGATTTTCCATATAAGCCATGTCACGATCCCAGTCTAGAAGAGAGCAAAGATTAGAACCATTTCCATGGTGTGCTGGGAACCCCCTCTTCCTGTGGGAACTGGGCACTGCAAGGGGGTCGGGTAAGGCCGTGGGAGCCTGATGTAAAAGGACACAGCGAAAGCTGCACAGGGGTCTGGGGGGTGCTGGGCTGGCTCCTGGCCTCTCTCCACCCTCTTTGCAGGCCCTGTGCAACATCCCTGGAGGGGTGGCAGGAGTACCCCAAGGGCCCTGGGGCCCTCTCCCTCCCACAGAGGGAAACATCCCTAAAGTCCTGGGGATAAGTACAGCATGTAGTGCCAGAACCATTCCTTCCCTCCTGCACTCCCTCTCTCCCTCCCTCTGTTGGAACTGCTCCCCCAGCCCAAGGGCACATACCCAGGCCCTGTCAGGACACCCTGGAGCCTTGCTCTCCCCCTCTGCCCTTTCCCCACCATGGGCACCCCGTGCAGTCACTTCCAGAGCTCGGGACGTGTCTCCCACAGAGGGACCCCAGCAGGACTGCTCAGTACCGGAGTGCCCCGGGCATAATAATTCCTCTGGGCTGTGCCGGCCTTGTCCGGGCTGTGCCCACGCTGCCAAGCAGCAGAGAGGGCAGCTCAAGGCTCAGCAGGGCTCAGGCCCAGAGGCACAGCAATTACCTCCTGTGACTGTGCCTGGCATCGCCTCCCTTCCTGCAGCAGAGGCTGGCACAGAATCTCTGCTTTCTCTGGGAAACACTGCCTTCAGCACAGCTTCTCCATCTACTTCAGAAGAAAAGGAAAGGCACAGCTGGAGCTGGTGAGGCTGTTTCCCTTAGGGGAGGGGGCATCTTCAGGAGGCAATGCTTGTCAAAGTCATTGATATGGATCAGGAAAAGGCACAAGCTGTTGGGACTGGGCCAGAGCATGCCCAAGTGAGTAGCGCTCCCTTGCAAACAGCTGTGCCTCCTGATGTGCTCAGAGACAGGGAAACTTCAGGGGATTTCAGGGTGTGCATGGCCCATGGTGCAGTTTGGGATCCGTGTCAGCTGGTGCCAAATGCTTTCCTGCAGAAGCTGGGGAGAAGCTGCAGCCAGGCCAGGCTGGGAAACAGCCCTGCAGGCTGTGAGAGCAGCAGCGGGGCAGCGAGGCTGCCATGGATCCCTTCCCGCTGTGCTGGGCAGGGCCTGTCCAGATGTGCAGGGAAAGGCCCCATCTGCTGAGTCCCAGGGGAAGACTGAGGGAAATGCACTCACTTTGTCTGGCCTGCTCCATTTCCTTCAGCATTTGCTGCTTGAGTTTGTATGGTTCCAGAGATATCTTGCCTGCAGTATCTTGGATCCTTCCTGTTGGGGGACCTTAAGAGAAATATTTCCATTTCCTAGGAATGGATTCCACAAAACCAGTGCCCAGCCTGTGGGGTCAGCAGGGACACACTACTCACCCCTGCGATGGGTGCTGGGCTTGCGGGCAGTAACTAGCAAGGGAGCTGGAGAAGTCCTCCCTGCAGCCACACCTGAAACTCAACAGCCACAGGAGCTTCTGTCATCTCTGCAGATCTGCACGGGCAGCACTGAGCCGCAGGAGCGGTGAGGGGATGGCCCAGGGCGAGGGCACACACGTGCGTGGTTCTGTCCTGGCACCTGCAGCGATGCCCCCCTGGCCGAGCTTTGGGCTCTGAGCTGGCAGCTCTCGCAGGGGGAAAGGCCTTGACCTACCCTCAGCATCTCCCAGAGGCTCAGTGATGGGGATGGGTGGGGAAGCTGCACCACTTTCACCAACAGGTTCAGCTGCAAAGAAAGGCAGGACAGAACAGCTCCTGTGGCACTGTAGGAGATCCTCAGGCTGCACCCAAGACTCAGCCCCAGGACACAGCCCTGGGCCCGGCCCCTTTCCCTCTCTGCTCTTCTCTGGGGCTGCACAGATCACACAGAAGGACACTCTGACATTGCACACAGGAATAAAACTGACAGCTAAATGCTCCTTCCTCCCACTGACAGTGATCCTGTGGGATCACTCACGGCTCCAGAAAGGGAGCAGGGCGAGGCTTCCAGATTCCTTCAAACCTGGGATGATGTTAAGGGAAGTGGAAGATGGGGGAACTCTTGTCACACTGACTCTGATTTTTGTCTCAGGAAAGGCACATTCAAAACTTGCCTCCAACATCATCCAAGAACTTCAAGCCATTTTCCACCACGGCTTCATAATAATCCAAGTCGCCATCCAAATCTAGAAGGGAGCACAGATCAGAACCATTTCCTTGGTGTGCTGTGGTCCCCTTCTGCCTTTAGGATCTGAGTACTTGCAAGGGGTTTGGGTAAGGCCTTGGGATCCAGATGTGAATGGACAAGGCCAAATGAGCACAGGGGCCTGGGGAGCTCTGGGCTTTCTCCTGGTCACCCTCCACCCTCTTTGCAGGCCCTGGCAACATTCGTGGAGGATAGGGTGGTGCAGCCCCATGCCCATTGAGACTCACTCCCTCCCACAGAGGAAACCCTCCCTAAAGCCCACGGGAAAACCATCCCCAGCGCTTCCCGGGGAGCAGGGAGCACTGTCCCGGGAAAGGGCAGCCAGGCTGCCGGCTCACCTGCTCCCTGCGCTTGCAGCGGAGCAGCCTGGGCAGCCCTGGTAGACAGGGCCACGACCAGGAGGAGCAGGAGGAGGAGGCGAAGAGCAAGGGCCATGGTGCCCTAACCTCTGCCAGTCCCACCACTCTTGCTGCCACCACTGTCCTGACACCGCTCTCCCAATGTCAGCACTGCTGCCACTGCTGCTGCCGCCGCAACAGTTGTGCTCAAGGACTGCCTGCTCGGGAGTTGTGGTGCTCTGGAACCACGGGGCTCTGGGACCTCTGTGACCTCACAGCCTGCTGTGACCTCAGCCTGCTATCACCCCAGAGCCTTCTGTGACCTCATGGCCTTAGCTGTACCCCCAGAGTGCACCCCCATCTGAGCAAATGGACTGCCCTGATTGTAAATGTTTTGCTTCATCCAAGGGCCATTGCTCAGCAAAACCTTTTATTTTGCCTTCTTACATTGCTGGTCAGACTGTGTTCCTGGAGATGCTCTTGACTGATGTGGTACAAATTAATTTTATGGCTTCCTTGAAAGGTGGTTCATTCTGTTGTACCCCTATGTTGTCCCCGAGTTTGTTTACCCCTGTGTTTTGCCCTCCCTCAAAGCTGACCCCCATGCCATTCCCTGCCCCTTGTTCCAGCTCTTTCCCTGCCTGTCATAGCAACCCAGCCCCTTGTTCCCCGAACCTTCCCTGTCACTTTTCCATCGGGCCAATCCCTGATTGCAACACCCCTTTGGGATGCCCCAATTCCTCAAGGCCCCATTGTTCCGTGTGACCCAACCTCTCCACTTTCCTACCCCAATTGGCTCCAGACACTGGATGTGATCCCCTCACTCCCCCCTTGAGGATTCCCTCTTGGTGAGCTGTTTGTATCCACCCCTTGGTTTGTATCTTGCACTGGACTGCTGGGGGCTCTTTGTTTCTGCTCTTTTCACCTGAAATAAACTCTTTCTTGTGGAACCTCAAGACGGAGAGCTGCCTTCTCTCTCCTCTGCCCGGTCCCTGTTGTGGCTTGTGTCTGGCACCTTAGAGCAAGTGGCTCTAAAGGTTCTACCTCTGGTAAATGCCCATACCGAGGCACTTCCCCACTCCTGGTGTGGCACCGGAGTTCTAAGAGCTAGACCGAGTTCTGGTAGTGACTTCACTAATTTACAGAATGCCTCTTCTTCTGTGCCTGCTCTGGTGCTCTGCCATCTCACACACCGGAGTGTGATTCACATACTGCAGCCCAGAGTTCGGTTTTTGCAACACTGAAATGGGTGTGATCAGCAGGATTGCTGGGGATCAATCGCTACAGAACAAAACAAAATGTGTGCACCATCCCAGGCTGGACTTAAATAGGCACAGGAATTTTGGGAAGATGAGGACAGGATAGCAGAGAACAATGTAAAAATCGGCTGGAAATAAAGGGAGGAAATGCTGAAGTAGTTGTTATGTGTAATATGGATAATTAGTGCCTATAAAAGGATATTTAGATGTAATATTTCGTATTGACAAGAAATATTTGTATAAAGCATGCGAATCAGAGCCAGGTGATCACCTCACATATGTAAAAACCACCGCTGACAAGAGGGAGGAGGACTTCATTTACAAACGAATAAACGTAGCTCGCCCAGAGATGGGTTGTTCCCCAAGGTGATCCAAGGAGGAACTCCCAAGTGATGATCATCTCAATAACTATCCAAGACTGAGATCGCTGGAGCCACCAGAAAGATACAGCTCAATGCCAAGTTCCAGTAACTCAATCAGGGACGGACATCACTCTCTGGACACGAATTTGTTCAACCCAACCTAGAGAAAAGAAATTCAATTAATATGTGGTACTCTGAATGGAAAGAAAAGCCTGATCACAGAAAACTCTGCCTCAGGCAAAATAAACTGTATAAAAACCACTCGAACGGGATGGTCAGTGTGACACCGAGGGGACCTTATGCTGTAGTGGTAACACTTGTGTCTCACCCAGCGCCAGTCTCGGGCTCCGCACTGTCCTTTTTATGGTGGCTCAGACTGATTTTGACCGCTGAATAAAACTTATTTTTATTTGTTTTTATTTGGCTGGATCAGTTTTTACCTCTAACAATCTTTGTGACCCTGATGTGATCTGATTCAGGGCATCCAGGGTCTCCCTGCCCTTGGTCTGGTCGGCACTCCGCTGATTTCAGCAGCCGGACAAGATTGGGAGAACCCATGGAACAAATCATATTCTGAACTATGAGCCAAGAGCCACAATCAAAAAGAGGATAACAATGAGCCCAGACCTCTCAGGTACTTGGAGTTGGAGCCTCCAAAGGTACGGCAACAATTTTTTCAGTCATAAAATCTATGTGCACGAAGAGTCCACGCGGGAAAAAGGACCATAAGTATCGCATGGTTAAGTGGGGTGTGATCAAGAGTGTGTGTGAGACGTGACATTGTCACAAGGCAAGTGCGATCCCCAAGATCACAGTTCCACTCTTCTGCGAGGGAAGTGGTCGGTCACGGGGGAAGCAGACGAAACCGGGTAAACTCATCTCATGTGTAAAGCCGGCAACTCGGGGAGTTCGGGGGTTCGATCACGAGCAGATCAAGGAGGGAGGGTACGTTCTCAGGTGCTTGAGAACTGGTAAACCTCTTTGTTCCAGGACTTGATAAGTCCAGAGAAAAGAAAGGTAGGAGAGCTCCTTATCAGCCGAAAATCCACTGATCAGTTCGCTGTGCAACCAGTAGGCTGGTAATATCGGGACAGGACTAGGTCATAAACTTGGTAACGCCTAAACTTGTTTTGGAACTTTGCTTGAGACTCGATACAGAGGTATGGTAAGAGGATTCTAAAAATGGGACAGAAAAAGAGTAAGATCCAGGGAAAAACCCAGGGTAAACCAGGAAAGGGGCAGAGGGACTGTTTGCCCAAAATCTCAAGGGAGAGCCCATTGGGATGGATACTAGGACATTGGGAAGACTGCCCCAAGAGGCAGAGGAGATCTAAGGTGAAAATGATTCACTATTGTGTGGAGGTATGGGGGAAGAGGGAAATTGGGAAATACCTATTTTGGCCTATATTTGGCACTTTTGATGCAAGGACGTGTCAAGCATTATCTGATTGTGTATATAAAGAGAGTGGAGTGGATAGGGAGGAGAGGGACTATGCCAGATTGTGGGGATATGCTGGTGTGAGGCTGATCCTGGTCAAAACTTCTGGCAGTAAGGTAAGCCAGAGTGAAACCTGGGAGCAGTTGGAGAACCTTCCACCCCCATATCAGATCCCTCTTCCTCAAGCTCAGGCTCCCATGCTCGCAACAGCAGGTCACCCGCCTCAACCCGCACAGGCACAGGCACCGCCCCTTAACATACAGCCTTCAGCTCTGGCGGTGCCGAACACACAGGGTCCTTCCCAGCCTCTCCCTCCACCGCAACAGACAGACAATTACGGGCACACACCTCTTGCTGGGGAAACTGCTTCTCCCCCAGCTAGCAGAACATGGCATAAGATGCGGAGAGAAAGCAATGATGATAGTGAGGAGGAAAGAGACCCAACCTTTATCCCCTAAAGGAAGTACCAACCGCTCCTGGAGTCATTGGGTACGTAAACGTGCCAATTAACACGGGGGATGTGAGAGCCTTTAAGAGGGAAACGGGAAAATTAATGGATGACCCTCTGGGAATATCAGAGAGGCTGGATGAATTCTTGGGGAATAGCATCTATTCATATGATGACATCAGTGAGGTCGTTATTCAACGCTGAGAAACGGGACATGATGAGGCAAGCTGCAATAAAAATTGGGAACGCAGGAACCCCCAGGGAGGGAGTGGCGCCAAGAAATGGCCTGAACAGAGACCATAGTGGAACACCCAGGAGGAGGAAGACCGGCACAAAATGGTAGGATTAAGGAACATGGTGATACAGGGTATCCAGGGGGCGGTACCAAAGCGACAGAACATTAGCAAGGCACTAGGGGAATGCCAGGGGAGGGATGAAACATGAAACACCCACTCAGAGAGGCTGAGAAAGAGCCTCCAAATGTATTCGGGGACACATCCCCATTCCCCCATAGGAGGAATTCTATTAAAAACAATTAATTGCTAAATCATGGGAGAACTTATGGAAGAAACTAGAGAAAATAGAGACTTGGCAAGAGAAAAATCTGCAAGAATTGCCCAGGGAAGCACAGAAGGTTTACATGAGAAGGGATGATAAAAAACAAAAGGCACAGGCGAGGGTACTGGTAGCAGCGGTAAGGGAAGCACAGAAACAGGAGCAGGCACAAAACCCTGGAAAACCAGCACAGGAGCAACAGCCCCAGGGACAGCCAAACCCTCTCAGAAGAAAGGCACAAACAAACAGGTAAGAAGCCCTGAGTGCTTTTATTGTAAACAGAAATGGCACTTCAAAAGGGAATGCAAGAAGAGAATGAAGGATGAAAGGATCTTCCAGGAGGATTAGAGGTGTCAGTGGCTTTATAATTTGGAGTCCAGAACACCCAGAGAGCCCTTGATAAGATTGAAAATTGGACTCCAAAAACAGGAGCTGGTATTTCTGGTTGATTTGGGAGCAGAAAGGAGTACGGTTCAGCAACTGCCACCTGGGTGCACAAAGAGTAAGGACTCAATGGTGGTCATTGGGTCTAAAGGGGAACCCTTTAAGGTACTGGTTTTAAAGGATGTAAAAATAAAATTGGAAAATAAGTTTTGTCTAGGGAATATTTTGCTAGTTGAAGAAGCAAATTATAATTTACTGGGGAGAGATTTAATGGCAGTCCTGGGGATAAACCTGATCGCACAGGACTCACAGCTCATGGTAAGTTTATATAAATTAACCCCTGAGCATGAGAAAGAGATAAATCCTAAGGTCTGGCACACTCAGGAGGAGGTAGGAAGGTTAGACATAGACATTTCAATCCACATTGAAATTAAGAGACCGGAGAATCCTATCAGGATTAAACAGGATCCCATTCCCATGGAAGGTAGGAAAGTATTAAAAAATGTAATAGAGGATCTAATAAGGAAAGGCACACTGAAGCCTTGCATGTCAAGGCACAATACACCTATCTTAGCAGTGCAAAAGTAATTACAGATTGGTACAAGATTTGAGGGCTGTAAATCAGAGGACAAAATCTTTGTTTCCTATGGTGTTGAACCCTTATACACTACTAAATAACATATCTCCGGAGGACACAGTGTGATAGATTTAAAGGATGCCTCCAAGATTATTTTGCATTTTAATGGG